GGGTGCAATATTAAAGCCCTCCTTACTGAGCTTCAAGAGCCATATCAGCACAGGGATTTCTCCCGTACCATTGTCACACCCTTGGTTGTGCCAAGGCCCCGAGACGGCTCCACACGGCCCATCGTTTCCCCTCGGATAATCCCATCTATCCCATAACGTCACGCAGGTGTCCGAACCGGTTTCCAACCACCCTATGACATCATTCGGATGCAATAGAAGAGGATCCGATTGATGAGATATGAGAATCCTGTTTCTATACGGGGTCTGGATTCCTTCTGGCAGATCAATGCAGCGCCACTGCGGAGTTGCTTCGGCTACCCTCGCTCATAGAGTGAGGGGAGGATGGCTGCCCGTTGTCTATATAGAATAGCTAGATGCTGGCTCTCTATTCCAGGAGCCAGCGATTCGTCTTTTATCTTTTGACAATAAGATACCAGAGTTACCACTGTCCTCATACAATATTCTTAGTGTGCCGAGTACCTCTGGTAGTTCAGTATTTGTATAGTATTCTACGAGTTCGCGGTTCAAGCGAGATAATCAAGCCCACCCATAAGGCTTCCCATTATATACCATCCTCCTCTGTGCCGCTGCCGAGTAGCAACCGCCTCGGCGAGCTCTTGTGGCAATATTGATATTGAGTGCTATATTTTAACAGTCATGAATTGTCAGATGGGATGCCAGAGATGAGAAATTAGAGAAGAAAGAGGAATCCATTCTTAATACATGGCAATCTTTTCAGTGGCCGAATGGGTAATGCGGCCACGAGGTAGCGCCTTGGCGTGGGGACCCAAGGCGCGTGGGTTCGAAACCCACAAGGGGACAACATTACATACATCCGGAGCCAACTTCTAAGCTTCTAAAATAAAGGGATGTGAACTTGCCAAGTAGGTACCTTCGGGCGGATCTACTATCTGATTTAGCTTATTGTTTCTGGGCTGGAAACCTGTATCGTGAGTACCAAATCCTGTCTTTCATTAATTTTCCTATGTTCCTGTTATATTCTTGGCGTCATTCAACACTATGCATTCCTTCTGTATAACCAACTCTTGCCTGTATTTAACATTACACAAGGACTCGTCATAAGCACTGCTTGCATACGAGTATAACGGAAGAATAAATAATAATAATAATCATATAAATAGAATGCGGGGTGATTTGAAGCTAAATGTAATTACTCATTAAGATGTGGTGGCGCTTCTTAGCGGTATAAATGGAATCTGAGCGGCGCAATTCTTTTGATAGCGCCCTCCGTATACTAGTGCATATTCCACAAACAATCAAAACATTATTGATCCCTCTCAATGATGTTGATTTTTCATATTTCGCAAGGTCTCTAATCCTTCTAACCTTCATCTTAACCTCTAACCTAATCTCCAAACTTAATCTCCTAATCTAACCCCAGAATGTATTATGCGTACGGAGTAGATATGTGGGTGCAAAGCCAGAATAGCTTGGCGTGGCGCTAACACTACACCATGGCATACCCCGGTTCTACCTGCCAATTCTTTCAGAAAATTCATATTATTGAACAAGCCGCAATCGCTCGTTTGCTCTCGCTTATCCAGCTTGAAAACTCACTGTTTAATCCCTCAAATGAACATAATAAAATATATAAGCAGCTGTATATGATTTGTATAGATGAATTCTACATAATTTATAACTATTAATAGAGAATATGTTGCAATCATTAAAGTGGTTGTTATTAAGGATCTAGCTGCTACGTGTGCGTATGATATTCGCAGACGCCTGAATGTCAGCGTGGAGGCGGCGGCGGCGGTCGGACCGCTTGCGGATGCCTCAGGGGATCCAACAGAATAATTATATGAATGAAGAAGATGAATAATATTGTAGTAATATTATAGAATTGATATAGAAGCTTTAAATAAGATATAATTAAATATCAGATAGCTTACTAGTCAGAGTAAAAGGAAGTTTCTAAAAATTATATAAAACTTTTAAAGAATTAAATATTGATTTATAATTGACTGATAGCTTCTATTCTTATTTGTTTGACATTGAATTAATTATTGATGAAAGAGAATGATAGTTATCTATTTATCTATATAATATTCAGTCAATTACTGATAGAATTGAAAGTGCTAGCTAGATATCTAGTTATCTATCTATCTCTCTATCTTTCAATCAATATAGCTGCTTAACATTCAATTAATCTCTATAAGAATAAGTATCATTATCTAGTTATTTATTTATTTGATAATACTGACTTATTAGATGATTATCTGACTGCCTATTGATCTATTTATCTACTCATCTGCTTGAATGAATGATATGATAATATTGATATCTATCAATGATATATATTGATGATAGTTAGCAATAATAGTCAGTAATGATATGTAGCAATAGCGATGATAGCCAGCAATGATAGCTAGCGATGCCCTTATAATTGTTAGGCCATTGGGGCAAAAGAGCTCTCTCACACCAGCGCCATGCTGGTAGTAGAGGGGACGAACCAATCCACACCCCCCAACAATAATTAAATAATTGACGAGGTTTAAATCATTATTTTTATTGCCATTATTCTTACCAGTATACTCGTATGCAAATGATATAATATGGCAGAAGATAGTAAAAGAAGATATGTCGGAACTAGACAAGTCCGAATATTGCCCTAGATACTGAATATCAAAAGTAGAATTGAATTGCTTCTTCTAATTACATGAGGAACAGGTAGTATTGTTGGGGGGATTGGATTGGGTGATTCGTACCCCCTATCCCCTCGTGGGTAGGTTTTTGCAAAATTAGCGTGGTTTCATTAGTGTATATTATACGAGATCCCATTGAATAATCAGTGTATTTTTGAGTATTTGTTGGTATTAGTGTAATATATAAACCCTAATTAAGGATCCGCGCCAATATATCTATATTAGGATATATTATGAAATTCCGCCCAACATCGAGTTTTCAAACATAAGAGGGTATTCTGACCTCCTGAACAATCAGAATTTGATCTCCCTGCCTGTTTACCTTCCTGCTGGCCAATCTTTCGTTTATACTGACACCAGGCACAAACACGCTGTTTTGAAAGAGGAATTCGTTGATGATTTAGATCAGGATTTGATCATTTGATAGGAAGATTATCATGAATCTTAGGTGCAAATTCAAAGAGCTGTTGATAAAGCTTCTCATGAAAGCTTATATGAGAAGGAAGATCCTTTGCCGGAATCCCTTGCTGCTTCATATATATATATTGAAGCCGGTATGCATTGACAGCCGCGGAATCGATAAGCCAGTAGAGAATAGGAAGCCAGGTTCGATAGGTGACTCTATGGCTAGTATATGCTGCCCAGTATTGATTTGCTAGGTCTACCCCATTCATATTATGATTATAATCATCTATAATCAATGGGATTTTCAGCTTCTTTTGTGGTTGACCTTCAAAGACTTTTCTAACAATATTGGCATTGGTTGAGAGTTCCCCTGGGCATTTATGAGTACATTCAATAACTGCGTCCAATGAATGAATCGTAGTTAGTGCCAATACCATATTATTATCTTGCCAGGCAAGACAGAGAACATTCTCTTTTTCAATGGCATGCAGGGT